ATATATATATATATATATATATATATAACTTGAGTGGTTAAAGGTGTTACGTCAGCACAAAAGGTACACAAAAGTATAAAAAAAAATGAATTATAGGGAATAATAGAACCCTAAATTAAGTTTGGATATGTCTCTGAAGTTTCAATCATAATTTAGGGAGTATTTGTACCTAATCCCAAACAACTTAATACATATGTACAATACGTACTACTCTTTTCATTCCAATGTATGTGACAGCGTTTTGCTTTGCACAAAATTTAATAATTTTTTAAAAAAAATTTGTGATCTAGAACACCTTAGATATTTCTAAGATTATATAGATAAAGAATAAGTATCCCTAGACTTTGATTAAAAATTCCAAAAATACAATTAACCTTAACTAAGATTTTATTACACCTGTATCATCAATAATGACATTTTTTCTAAAGATTAATTATAAAAATATGTGACATAAATTAAAACAGAATATCTTTTCGACGTAGAAAGCAAACTAGATAGCGTAAGTACGTAGAACCATCCCTCTTATTGTCACTTCCTGACAATATTATTTAGAAGAAAAAAGAAGAAAATAATCATGGTCATATATATAGGACAAATTGCAAAATCATTTTCACTAAGCATGATAAAGAAAAATATCATTTTACTTTGTTTTAGCTTTTAATCATGCGCTTTAATTTTGTGTGTAAATAAAATATTTAAATTTATATAAAATTAAATAAATAGACATATATCCTACATCCTATATGTATTGTACCACAAAAGGAATATGTCATCTACTTATTCAATCTTATAAAAATTTTAAAAAACATATTTATATATTACGCTGTTAATAATATGGAAAGGGAAAAAATCTTGTAGTTGTAATGCACCAAACAAAATTGATAAAGTGGGCATATAGTTTCCTAGACAACTACAAGCTTAGAATAAAAATGCAAAGACATTAGAATAGAAAACGATAAAATATCATAATTGATACTTTAACCCTTTTTGACAACTTATCATCAAGGTGGAAAATGTACTAGTATTTCTTTTCACAAATTGGGCTCATGTTAAATGCTAACCATTCCATTGACGACACGGAACTTAGTGAGTACGATGAATGGTAAAGTAGGAACATTTCATCCATTTACTCAATTTCAAATTCGCCTCGTCTATCTATTTAGCGTGCCTGATCAGGGGTGAAGCTAGGTGAGAGTTGGTGAACTTAGACGAACCCAATAATTTTTTTGTAAATCCTAAATTTGTATGAAGTAATAATTTTTGAATTTGCCTCGTCCACCGATCTCACATGTCTTTTGGTGTCACATGTTCTACAACATCCTTCAAGATTGATAAATTTAATCCTAAAGATTTATTGTTAGTTTAAATAACAAATTTTAACTCACTTATATAAAGTTGCAGTCGTCCTGGAACACCAACAAATATGATGGTTATATTCTTTTTTTGTTGTATACAAAAGGAAAAGGAAGTGATTGAAAAAACAAACGGAATAGAATATAAAATCAAATTTAATCTTGTTCAAATTACTTTCATCTTCTAAACTATCGTCAAAACTCTTTAAGATTTAGAGCATGATACATTAGATGATACAAATCATAACTAATTAACTGTTCCAAAATAATTTTCAGTGATTAATTTCATCAGATGCACCTTATAAATTTTCATAATTTCACAATTTTAACTCCTTTCGATGCTACTTTGGACTTGGATAACTACTTTTAACAAGACAATATTATTATTATTATTATAAAAAAATATTTTTTTAAGTAAAAGAGAGAGAGAGAGAGAGCCTTAAATCATATGACATCTGTGTAGAGTGTAATAGACACTTGAAACATTTAACAGGACGGAACCTATAGTCATTACATCAAATAAACTACTCCATCACAAGTCAGAGTGATTAAACCTTAATGACGATCTTTGAGATAAGACATTGACACAAAAGAATTTTAAGAAATATAAACTTTTAGATTTTATATAAATAAATATTTTTAAAACATAAAATCTTCGAATACATGCTAAATAACAATAATAAGCTCATTATAATTTTACGAATAGGAATCGAGTCATGGTACAACCTATGAATTCCATCAAATTCAATAGCTTTAACCTAAACTTTATACTTATCTTAAGAAATTTATTAAAGAACATAAAATTTTAGAACTCTATAATTATTAGGAGTAAAACCCAAAGAAGATGGTATATTAGTAGATTTTATTTCTATTTAAATAAAAAATATCACTATATGCTAACGTGGTTTTTTTAGTGGAGAAATTTAAGGTTATCATTATGGAGAAAAGGAGTGTTGAGTCAAGTTCTACATTTTTCGGGTGTTCCTCAATGATCATTAATGATATCAAAAAATACTATTAGCTCTTTTGTCGTTATTAGGCGACCATATCGACCAGCTTACTGACACCACATCTAACTCTTAAAAATCATCTCACACTCTTCCAACGTGGAAAAAAAAATTAATATATGTGATATCACTTGATTAAAAATAAAATTCAAAAAAAAAATTAAAATTTATATAATTTAAAATGAATTTTAAATATTTATGTGACTACAAATTAGAAAGAGAAATATTTAATATATTTTTATATTGTTTACAAATTATTAGTTTCATTCTGAACTATTGATAACCTTAAAAACAATCCTCTATTTGATTAACTAACCTAAGAATCACTCATAATTTGTCATATGACATCACAAGTGATCTCATACTCTTATAGGAGCATAGAGCTCTTAATAAAAAATCGAGAGAAGTATCAAAAACACCTTTAATCTTATCAAAAATTTAGGAGTATATTTCACGCATATTGCAAAGTCAATGATATGTTTAAATTCAGTTAATCAAATAAATGAAAAAATTGTCAATAATTTAAAGATAAAACTAATAATTTAATATCAAATCTAAAGATATTTTTAATATTTCATCTAAGATAAAAAGAAAATAAGAGAACAGTGTACTACGTACAATCGCAACACAAGAGTACACCATCCATAGTTAGCTACAGATACGATCAATACAAAAGTAACATAATCACATCTCTCACGATTGGACATCAATAATGAAATTATTGATTTAAAAACTTAGAGAGATTAGTTAGAAGAATAAATTTATCCTTTTATCAATAAGAATGACACGTAGTTATCTTTGACTTGTCTTATCCACACCACAATGTTGCAACATTTATTAGGGATGGAATGTAGCCCCAAACTAAAAAGATAAAAAGAGGTCCAAAGATAGAGATGTCCAAAAAAGTGATCGAACTAGAAAAAAAATACACGATAGCTAAAACGATTGGCTTAAAATAAACAACAAACCACAAGTCTCAGTCACCTGAGAGTAACCAAACTAGATATTTCTTGCATGCTTGCCTTCCTATATAGTGGAGTATTTATATTAATAGAAGAAGCCCACTTCTTTTTGACAAGTTTCAAATAAATTAATAAAAACTCTTATTTCTTATCCCATTCAATAAAGTTATGGAAGTAGCAGAAGATAGTAGTCCAGTTGAGTGTTCAAAGAAGAAGAGTCATGAAGATGGTAAAAGGTTTAGTGATGAACAAGTGAAGGTACTTGAGTCCATGTTTAATCAAAAGACAAAGCTTGAACCTAGCAAAAAGCTTGAATTGGCCAGAGATCTTGGGCTGCAACCACGTCAAGTTGCGATTTGGTTCCAGAACAGAAGGGCAAGATGGAAAACAAAGCAATTAGAGCATGAATATAGACGACTCAAAGATGAATTCGACAATTTAGCTATGAAGTTTGAATCGTTGAAGAAAGAAAAGGAATCTTTGCTCAAGCAGGTATCTTATTAACTTTCTTGATACTGGTCGATCCAAACAAGCTGAAGTTAGCTATATAAATGACGTATTTTGTTCTGGAACAGCTACAGGAACTAAGTGATCAGATGGAAAACAACCATGCTGGTTGTAGCAGAAGCCAAGATTCTATAGACAGTGAAATCTATACAAGCTCAGAAAATATAGAAGCAGAAGTAGATGTGAAGAACAATATCCCAGTTTGCATAAATACGAGTTTAGACCACAACAGGATTAAGGGAACGGATAGTGACCGAGAAGGAACATTATTTGAACACTTGAGGTGGAAGGAAGAAGAAGAGTTTTGGAACATGGAGGAATTAGGAGACAGTTCCTTAGGATCACCTGAACACTGGTATGCTGTAGGCCCAGGTGATTCCTTCGATCTGTCATGTGAAAATTCTAAGTGGTGGGAATTGTGAACTCAACATATACATCAATACTTTCAAAGGAGTAAACAGGTAGAACTTCGATCAACAAAAAAGTCTATGTTTTCTTACTCACATTAATGGAGCCAAGGTTGTGTGCAGAGAATAGGAGGAACTTTATTCACAGTTGATCTTTCTCCCTTCCATTGTGCTGAGAACCTGGAAGTAGCTTGCCAAAATGATTTGCAAGGAAAACTATTAGCATAACATGAGAAAGAGATACACTAGCCTTTCTACCAAAATGTCACAGTGATGTTCTTTCTTTTGATAATGGATATATAGCTTGTAATTTAGTTCACAAGAAAGAAAACAGTGTATATAGAGCTTCTTTGCGTAATCACAATAAAATAAAATGGATGTGGCATAATCAAAAGTCAGGTCTTAATTTTGAGTTATGTGAATAGAAAAACTCCTAGTAGGTTAGCATATAAAAGTGTGAATGTTTACCCTTAACAGGTAGTTTCATGCATATTGCAACCGCTAATGACGAACTTTAAAGCATAGGGCTTGATCCTAACTTTTTGTGCACTTGACAAAACTCAGCTTAGTAGAGCAAACGTACTAACGTTTTAGAACTTATGTTATATAGTGAAATAAACATTGATGGACAGAACGAAGTTAAACAAACAAATAAAATACAAAAGAGTGCCAAATTATGAAGTGTCTTGACTGCAAAAATGCAAACACCTGTTTACTTGATCTTCTTCTTTGGCCTCAACTGAAATAAAAGTAGGAAACAGAAGAATCATTAAGTATGGAGTCCAGTAATGCACAACAGTCAACAAAATTGACCAAGACGATACCTGGTTGCTATGGCCACACTTCTTTTTCCTGCAATTGACAGCACAAGGGTGCAAACGCGCATAGCATCTGCAGCAAAAAAGAAAATGCATAAATACACCCAATCAGAAAGGATATAAAGACCATAACTCATTAGGCATGCAACTTAAACCAATATAACATGATATCATAGTGCGTAGACCAGTGATGGAGCCTAGGCAAATGTAGAGGAATTGATTTCATTTTAGCACCAAAAGTTTAATAGTTGTGCAATGATCATGCAACCCCTCAGGAGATAGGGACGGTAAAAACTGATCTGTTCGACAGTCACTTGAGCAAATAGAAAAATATCATGCATACCATATCCTAGCCACTACCTTGCACAGGATAGCTTCCATATCATGTCTACCAAATGGTACAAAAGTAGCTCAAAAAGAAAACAATATTAGAAGAACTATACTAGCAAACCTATAGCCCGTTAATAGTTTAAGGGGAAGGAAAATATTTAGCAGGTTTCTGTCCCTCCATGTCCTCAAAGTGTAACTTTGTAGTTTTTTCTTTGGCTAACATGTGCATATGTTGGTAAAGGATCATAATTCCATAGCTAAGTACAATGCTCCCATACATACAAATCGATAGCAGCAGCTAATAGAAATTAATTTTCGCCTGCAATACAACTTCACCCAAGGTCATCATATATCTAAGAATGACCACCAGGACAGCCTTCCAGGTTACTTTTCCATGTCATCACCTTGACATAAATTACTCTTGTACCAATGCAGAATACAGAGGTGAAAGATAATCACCGTGCATTACAAGTGAGAACAAGAACAGGAATTGCCATTTACAAGGTTGACCTCACCGAAAAAAATGACATTTCGCTACACAGTCATTCTCCTGGCTTACTCTACTGACATATTAGCAATGCATTATGCATCCAAGATCAAGACCTAGGAGAACAGCAGATAGAACCTACCCGAACTATCAAAACTTTGCAAAATACCAATAGCTTCAACTTTACAATATCAAATCAGGAATAATTTGGATCGACTACATAAATATTCTATAATCCATTCAACATGTACACTTCATTCCAATACTACACGCGTGGATATCGAACTTACTTGCGGCAAATCATCTTTTCCTGGTTGTATTTCCGGGCCAAAGCCATAAGAGAAGGTTCAATAATCCCACTGCGAAGCCTCAGAACAAGGTGCAGAGTGGACTCTGTTTGAAGAAAATATCAAGCAAAACAAACTATCAAATAAACCAATCTAAATTATCCAATTTCATTACACACAGACCTTTTTTGGATATTATAATCTGCTAGCGTACGTCCATCTTCAAGCTGCTTACCAGCAAATATCAAACGCTGCTGGTCCGGAGGGATGCCTAGAAAGTAGCCACCAATTTTATGTTTCACAGTAAAGATATGCGGGGAAAAACGACTTAGGATTTAACAATTGAGTACCTTCCTTATCCTGAATCTTAGCCTTGACATTGTCGATTGTATCGATGGATTCAACCTCAAGGGTTATAGTCTTCCCTGTTAGGGTTTTCACGAAGATCTGCGTCTTCTTCAATGGAGTGTCAAGCAAATCCGAGGCTAGAGTGGGTTTTGTTACAGGGGAGGGCTTATAGTGATGTGGGCTCACGAAACATTCACCTCCCCTCTAGTTCGCATAATTACTATACTTAGCAAGTGTTATAAATTCTGAAATATTTTTAGAAATATTTAGGATAAGTTTTAGAAACTTTCTCCAAGTTTCACTCTATAACACTCAGTTTATTTATAATAAGAAATTGGAGAAGGTTCGAAGGGAAGCATGTACATACGAAAGAGACAGTAACACAAATAAAGAAGGATATTATAATAGAAATGTTAAATTTAGTTAGTCATTCCAAAAAAGCACATAAATATACTTCTTTTATTCAGTATTTACTTTCTAACTAGTTTGTTTCGGTTGGAAGTCTAATTCCTGATCTTGGAAATAGGCGCTGTTTAGTTTGTATTTGTTCCTTGATGGTATGGTAATATTTTATATTTGTTACAAAAAAATATATTTACACTAGCAATAATATATATATTAATTATGTTTACATTAATTATATATAAATTATTTTTATGTATTAGTATTTGATTTGACACATTAAAAATACAACCATCCAAACATGCTCTAATAAGGAAATTTGTTTTTCACCGCGTGTCAAAGTTGACAAGTATTTTTGATGTACAAATTATAAGGAGAAAGGGCAAAACACAGAGTCTCAAGAAATAGCTTCAGATTTAGGCTAAAATGGCAACCCAGAAAGGGAAGAAGACGGTGCTAAAATTCGACTCCGAAGAAGATGTATCAAAGGCACTTGCTAAATACACTGCTGAGCTATCGGAAAAATTCATCAAACAAAAAGGTTCTTTCACTGTTGTGCTCTCTGGTGGTTCTCTTATCGATACCATGAGGTAAAAATGTATATGTTATTGATCAAACACTGTTTTTAGGTCCCTTTAATTTCAGATTTCTTTTGGAACAGGAAATTGGTAGAGCCGCCGTACAAAGACTCAATTGATTGGTCGAAATGGTGGATTTTTTGGGTAGACGAAAGAGTGGTTCCTCTAGGTCACGATGATAGCAATTATAAACTTGCTTCGGATGGGTTTCTTTCTAAGGTACATCAATAGATCAGATCGACTCTTCCTTTTTGTGTTTTCATTATATTGTTGAAATTGTTGAGTTTCGATAAGTTTTCAAGTTCGTCGGATAAGCTAGTAGTTTATGATGCACAATGAATTTACATACCAGAGATTTGAGTAGGCTAGACTGGTGACCTTCAGAAATTAATTGGATGATTGGCTTCTTTTGGCAGGTTCCGATCCCCTCTTCTAACATTTATGCGATTAATGACAAGGAGTCACCTGAGGGTGCAGCTGCTGATTACGAAGCTCGTCTGAAACAATTGATTGAGAGCAAAGTTCTTCCGTTATCAGCAATTACTGGATTCCCCAAATTTGATCTTATGCTATTAGGTATGGGGCCAGATGGACATGTAGCGTCTTTGTTTCCTTTGCATCCTCACCGCCACGAGAAGGAGCGGCTGGTCACCTTCATTACAGACTCACCAAAACCTCCTCCACCAAGGATTACTTTCACCTTTCCGGTAATTAATTCGGCTTCAGAGATAGCAATGGTGGTCACAGGAGCAGAGTTAGCTCATATGGTTGATGTCGCTTTGGGTAATGCGCCTCCTCCTGATGGAATTCCTCCCCCTTGTACTGAGGTTTCAGCTGAAGAGGAACTGACCTGGTTTTTAGACAAGGATGCTGCATCAGAACTACAGACCTCTAGATGATTATGTTATCCTTGTGATATACTTAATAAGTGTAATCCAAATAGGACATGAGCATAAAGTTTGGTGCCCCTTGAATGTGTTGCCTTGTAATGGTTAACCATTCTTGCTTGGTAGTTGATACTTATTCTACCTTTAACTTTATCCTCTAGAAGGTAAAAGTTAGGTACGATATGAAGAATGCATATTCTATAAGGTTTGGTAACGTCGCTTTGCGAACTGAGATCCATGATCAGAATATAATACATTGGTATTCAGTATTGTATCAGGGAGGTCTTTGTTTCTCTTAAAAGTATAGCCATCAAAGTATTGGCGAGACGTGATTAAACAGGACATGGTCTTAGATATGAGAAGTTATGGAGGACATAGATTAGTGTAGGATGATAGTAGGTAGTTAAGCATTGGCTGGTAGTTTGTTGTCCTTCAATCCATGGGTGCTACTTTCGACTGTCTCTTCTACTTCGATTATTGCACTATTTCATTGTAGTTTTTTTTCTTTGACATGTTTTCTATCGTAGCTACTTTGTTATGCTGGTCTATCAGGAACATGCTCTCCATCTTTACGAGGTAGTGATAAAACTTGTGTACATTCTATGCTCTCCAGATCCCACTTGTGGGTATGTTGTTGTTGTTGAGACTATGACCATCAAGCTTTTCTGATTCTCTTCTAGCTTACAGAAGATGGAGGATGGAGAAAATGGTAGTGCTTCCCTTACTCCCTTCTCGACACAAAAAACAACTTATTCTTTAAGCCTTTTGGTATTCAGAAGTTCTAGTGGTGAGTGAAAGGTATGTTCTTGATTACAACTACTTATCTGTGCAAAGGTTTTAATTTGGTGTTACTGTCAATGTAACGGACGAAAATTGCTTGTGATGCTTTCCTATTTCATGAGTAATCACTGATTCGTTTCAACACTTGAGGCTATGCCAGAAAGTATCACAGTAAAAAGAGTTGCAAGCAAACTTGAAGCATTATATTTTTTTTCCTTGGGCTATACGTCGTATTGTCCACTTTTTTTTCCATTCAATTAATTGTTAATACGCAATATCGGAGAACTTCTAGAGCCAATTTTACTAGGTGTCGTAGAAATGTAATAGCCGTTGCTCCAAGTCGCATGGCACAAAGATGTAGTTTGGGTAGGAAAATCGGTCATAACAAGTAGGGAAAATTGTATATAATGACAAATTAATAAATTAAATTAAATATCATAATTACACTTAGATTTAGTTGTGCCCTGCAGCAAACTATTTGTCACTCACTTCTCTCTCTGAAACTCTCGCTCGCCACTCTCCCTCGCTCGCTCGCTCCCTCTCGTTTTCATACAAACACAAATGTATAAAATGTGTTTGTGTTTATATGAAGCAAGAAAAAATTATATATATACATATATTTTTGTTTCCTTCTCCCCGAGATCTTGCTTGTCAGTCTCCCAGATCTCGCTCGCCACCCTCGCCTCTCTCACTTATACAAATAGAAACGAAATGTATAAAGTGTGGCGCGAAAAAATTGTATATATACACATGCAAATACATATATTTTCGTTCTATACATTTAAAATTGTACAACACTCATATTTTCCTGCCCAGTTTTCTTTTATTCTTTCTCTCTTTCTCGTTTTATACACACACAAATTATACAATTGATATTTTGTATACAACTGCTTTCTTTTTTACATGTATAGCGAATTATACAACTGCTTTCTTTGATAACACATCTGCTTTTTTTTATATATGTATAGCGAAATATACATATTTATGGTTGTTATGGAGCGCAATTATGCAAATTATAGCTATAATAGTTTTTGTTTGCTATATATAAAAATTACTCGAAGAAGAATCATTGTTTCGTCGACCTCAATAGTTTTTTTAAAAATATATTTATTTATTTATTTGCTATTGATCGTAAGCAAATAAATAATAAAATTCATTTCATCAAAAAAAAAGTTAGCAGATTTTTTTATATACTTTTATTGTTGGAAGAAATTCAAGATTCTATCTATCACATAAACTGCATGACACACTTTAAAATTTAGAAGAGATAGTTAATAAAAAGAACTGCAGTTTGTAGTGGAATAGACGGAATCAACGTTAGGGATGGACAATTCGCTTATTTACGAGTGAACGGTTGGTTTTGATCTGTGCTTTTAGTTGCTCGGATCGGATGATAGGCAATTCGCACCTTCAACTCAAAAATTATTAGTTCAGATCACAAAGAGAATAAAAAGTATTCTCACTTCCGATTCGAACGTTGTGAGTTGGTAGCTCCTAGGGTAAAAATAAATAATTCTTTTTGACTCATTTATACATGCATGCACCAAAATAAAAAGTCGTACTAAATAGTTATGTGCTTGGTCTAAAAGCATACAATTTCTAAATTAATTGGACCGTTATTAGTTGACCTAAACAAAAGTAATAAGGTCTAGTTTGTGAGGCCAATAGTTTATTTTTTATTTATAATAATAAATAACTACAAGTAATTGATTGTCTATTAAGGGTACACCTGGGGTTGTTATCAGTAAATTAAGTTATTTTCAAATTATTTCCAATACCTGGAAATATATACAAGAAGATACTTGTCTAATTTTGACTCAACACATCTATTAAGGACTTGTTTAGTGTGAGATAAGCATAATAGTTTTAGGAAAAGAAAATAGTCTTGGGATAAAATTTAGATGTCTTGTTTGGTTGAGATGGTTGGGATAACTTACTCTACTATTTATAACATAGTGATGGGACGAGTTCTCCCATATATATGGTGGGATAAGTTATCCCATAATAACTAAGTTAATCTTGGAATAACTAGTTTCCTTGGTCCCTACGAAAATAATAATAGATATAGTGAGTTTAACACTTTACCCCTATTAATTTATAGAATTTAAAAATCAATTAAAGGTTCTACTTTTTTTCAAAAACATTAACTCTATAATAAATTGAGTGTATATTAGGTAAAAACATATTGAATTTGTTAAATTTGACAAGATTCAAAAATGGATTAGTGAGAAGATATGGTAGTTAGGAGGATAATTTTTCATTGGTAGAAAAGTCAAGATAACACCCTTTGTAGGTGAATTTTTGGTGAACCATAAATTGATTTCACAAGGTAAATGTTGACATTTTAACATATTGTGATGTCATGGATGACATCAATATGAAGAATTTACTCTTATAAATAGGTAGCTCCTAATTCATTTGTAACACACCTCTAACATGCCTTCTCATCTCATAAGGCATTTGTTCTTTTTTCTCTCTTGTACTATTTCACTTGTACTCTTTTGCAGTGAAATAAATATTGATTGGTTGTATCCGAGGAGTAGGCAAAAGAAAACAAAAGTTTAACCGAACCTCGTTAATTCCTGGTGTTCTTTTTGTTGTTGTCTCATTTACTATTTATTAGCTACCTTTAGATATAGTAGTCGTGATTCCATCACTCTCTATATATTCAGCTTCCGCAACAATTGGTATCAGAGCCAAGGTATTATCTGAGTATGCTCTGTGGTTGCAGCATAGTCTAAACTTCCACATCAGAAAATGATTTACTTTGGTCTTTACATTGTTAGCTAGTAAATAGTATTTGTAGTAAAATGGACAAGAAAAATGATGAGTCCACATCAAGTGTCAATAATTCGTCATCATTGACATCATCGCTTATGACAAGAATTGTGTCAAATGCGAAATTTGCAGTTGAAATTTTTGACGGGTCAGGACATTTGGAAATGTGGCAAGGCGAGGTCCTCGATGTTCTTTTTCAACAAGGGCTAGATATTGCCATTGAAAAAAAGAAACCAGACGGTGTAGGAGAAGAAGATTGGAAGATTATCAACCGAGTTGCTTGCAGTACCATTCGATCTTACCTTGCAAGAAAACAAAAGGATCCATACACGAAGGAAACATCTGCAAATAAATTATGAAATTCATTGGAGGAGAAATTCTTGAAGAAAAAACAGTAAAAATAAAAATTTACATGAAAAGAAGATTGTTACGCTTCACTTGTATTCCTGGCGGCACAATGAATGATCATATCACCAACTTTAATAAGTTGGCGACATATTTGTGAAATATGGACGTGACTTTTACGGATGGAGATATGACCTTAATGTTGTTAAGTTCACTTCTCGATGAGTTCGAGCATCTTGAAACGACTCTACTGCATGGAAATGATGAAGTATCTCTCAAAGAAGTTTGTTCTGCCTTATACAGTTATGAACAAAGAAAGAAAGAAAAACAAAAAGGCGGAGAAGCAGAAACACTAGTTGCGAGAGGTCGTTCTCAAAATCTTATGAAAACGAAGAAAGGGAGATCCAAGTCAAGATTGAGACTTAGTAAAGATGAATGTGCCTTTTGCCGAGAAAAAGATCATTGAAAGAAAGACTGCCCAAAGTTGAATGGCAAAGCCAAACCAAATAATGGGAAGGTTGTCTTGGATTCAAATGTGGCTGATTGTGATGATTCCGATTACTCGCTAGTTACAACTAATCCTTCCAGATCATCTGATGTATGGTTGATGGATTCAGCTTGTAGTTATCATATGTGTCCCAATCGGGACTGGTTTATTGATTTACAAGAAGGAAAATATGGAGTTATTCACACTGCAAACAATAATCCTCTTACCGCATATGGTGTTGGTTCAATCCGATTAAGGAACCATGATGGATTAAGTAGAACATTAATAGATGTTCGATATGTACCAAATTTGAAGAAAAATCTCATTTCTGTAGGAGCCTTAGAATCAAAGGGGTTCAAAGTCATTGCAGATAATGGCGTGATGAGAATTGCTCTAATGCACTGGTGGTAATGAAGGCAATTCGAAGAAATAATAACATGTACCACTATCAAGGTAGTACAGTTATTGGAACAGCGACAACAACATCCAATGACGAGAAAGAGGCAGAAATGACCAAACTGTGGCATATGTGCTTGGGGCATGCTGGAGGGAAATTCTTGAAAACCTTATCAGATCAAGGATTGCTAAAAGGAGTAAAAATTTACAACTTGAAATTTTGTGAGCATTGTATCAAGGGAAAGCAAACAAGGGTTAAATTTGGAACAACTATCCAGAATACTAAAGGTATTTTGGATTATGTTTATTCGGATGTTTGGGGTGCTTCCAAAACGCCTTCATTAGGTGGGAAACACTATTTTGTAACCTTTGTTGATGACTTTTCTCGAAGATTGTGGATGTATACGATGAAAACAAAAGATGAAATATTAGGAATTTTTCTCAAATGGAAGGCGACGATAGAAACTCAAAGTGGCAGAAAGATCAAGTGTCTTCACACAGACAATGGTGGCAAATGCAAAAATAAATCCTGCCCAGCATGCCCCAAGCGCATATGCCACAGTTTGGTCATTTCTGCCTCCTTCTCGTCATTGGATGTTGTTGTCGCTGTCCCAATAATTGTACTACCTTGATAGTGGTACATGTTATTATTTCTTTGAATTGTCTTCATTACCACCAGTGCATTAGAGCAATTCTCATCACGCCATTATCTGCAATGACTTTG